ACCATCAAGATATACTTTTAATAATACAGAAGATGGCTGATGGGTCATGATGAACTCTCTTCAATAAAAATTCTGTTTTATTTTCTGCAACTTTTTTAGAAGGACTTTCATGCCACACATGCATTAATAGCGACAGTGTAAGCTTTGAACGCTTCTAACGTAAGACTAACCTAGTGAGAACGTAAGCATAGCTTAAGCCTATTGTTGTATTACTTGTAGCTTAGTTTGGTGAATCGGGGGAGGGGAGTTCGCTATGCTCTTCCCAGTATATTTGTAACCTAAAAAGGCAGCACTGAAAGTTTAACATTCTAGCCATTGTCAGTAGTTCATAAAAGGGTAAAATAGCGTAGAAACGTAAGGAATCAGGACTGGTAGCCAAGAACTGCACCAAAACCTACCATGCACATCCAAAACTAATTTTCTAGCATTATGGTAAATTTCACGGTATTTCTTCCATCAACTGAGGTATTTTCGCATCATAGGCGATCGCCAGAGCTAATTATAAGAAGAATTATGCTTATTCTAAAGTTTCCCATACTTATATTACTGGGATATTGCACATGATCGACAACACTATTTAATATAAACTTGTACTCACTTATAAAACGAAGAAAATATGGAATGTACATTATCTTTATGTGTAATGTTCTTCACGAGAAACGTTTCAAGATACAGAGAAATACATTTTCAAAATAAATATTTTTTATGACTAGCTCAGAATTCAACCTCTTATTTATGATATGCTCTTTGCTACTGAACTCTGACAAGAAACAGCAACACGTCTCGAAGTTCAGTATAAGATTGCACTAATACTCTGTTGGTAAGGTAAGAACATCTTTAGACACACACAAAAAAAAATCTTTTTGTTGTTTCATATGTTATCTGTACAAGCAACAATGCACCAAAGGTATACAGCACAGTTTTTTCAACACGAGTACGAAATAATGGACTAGAAATTTCACAGCGCCCTCTGTTGGGATCTTTGATTTAAATTATTTTCACTTTAATAATTTAATATCAGCACAGCTACTCATCACACTATAACAATGTATCTAAAAATACGGTCTACAAACAATGAAAGCCAGTAGTACAATTCTTAAATATTTTCAGCTCCTCTTATTCAATAGTCACTTTTCATAAGACTATAATTCATATGTTAACTTTAGTAAGGCGGACTGACTGAAAACCGTCCACGTCAAATAATCTAAAATGACAACCCTTGAGAAACGTTATGGTTAAATGCAAACTACATTGTACATTAGTTAAATATTAGTGTTCTATTATATATTGGCACATGAAAATAACTTTTTGGTGCCTTTATGTGGTACATAAACTATATTTCTCCCGATAATGAAATCGATAATAAAAAACGACAGTAGATAATTATACACAACTCGTTAACAAAACAAAATCTCGTAGAACTATCAGTAAAAATCTGGTTTTGGTTTTTGACCTGAGAATGTCCTAAATGATAGATTCACTTTGTATTATTATTTATTTATTTAATTGGTTGTTGTTGTTTTTTTTACCAAAGAGGTAAAAATAGTCGAAGAAAGTCAGTTCCGATGCACGAGTAACTGTTCGAGTTCGTCAGCAGATCGTAGGAGAAACACAGCGGATTCGCGGTATCCAGCGACGAGCTGTTTGACTGCAGCGACCTCACTCGGATTTAAAGAATATTTATTTGGGGGATTCTTCTTCATACTTAAATCTGTAGGGCCTAGAGAATCCAAAAATTAGAAGAAGTAAAAGTTAAATATTACCCATGGCATAGATGACATTTCGCGTTATTTCTGATATTCTTGTTTTGGTTTTTTTTTCTGTAGCATTTTTTAAAACTTTTAAAATAAATTTCCAACCCTAATTAGTTATAAAATCGCTACAAATTGTTAAATCAGTGTGGTCGTCTAGGAAACGTTGGTTAATTTACTAAGAGCGTATATAAATTTCAAGCGTGAAACTGAATGTTATAAAGAAGAAACCGATTATATTAGGCCCTTTAAAAATGATAATTTATTTATGATTAAATAAAATAATTCCCGTATTGCTTGAAGAAACAAAAAGTAATATTAGTATAACCAAATTCCTAGCAATTAGTTTTACCATTCGTTTATTTTTTTTAATTTTTGCAACCTTTATATTTTTTAGAATTAAATAACAGTCTCATATATATATATATATACATACACGCATACATGGTGTCCGTAAATTGTCTTAACAAATTGTTTTGCTTGTGTGAGCAAATTTATTAACATCGTTCCTGGTAACGCTGTATATGTGCATTTTGATAGCATTAAAATAAATTTAATAATTAATGATATGTGAGGAAGAGGCTTAAAATGTGGTGGCACAAAGAAGAAGTTGAGTACTAGCAGTGTCTTCTGTATCTTGGCATTTCATGTTTCTTTTACATTTCGCGCAAAGCTACACGAGGGCTATCTGCGCTAGCCGTCCCTAATTTAGCAGTTTAAGACTAGAGGGAAGGCA